CAGGTAAAGAAAACAAATGATGGGAAAGATGGCAGGCTGGTGTTGAAAGGATGACTACAGGGTGGAGGGACAGAAGGGGTGGGGTTTGCCCAAGCTCAGTCCCAAAACTGGTCTTCGCTAGTGAAGCCGAGGTAAAAAATAGAAGCATACTAACCATATTTCTTGGGGTGCATCGAGAAGTGGTTTTTTATTAGGGAGGGACCTTATACAGGAAGACCTGGATGGCCTTCAGGATGAGTACCTCTTGACAGCACAAGATGCAAGGTGTTTCACTTGGGGAATTTCAACAGAAGCGATAAATAATAGAAGTCAGGGAGCATTCTCTTGTCCTGGAGATGAAAGGCTTGGACACAGTCCTTTTGCAGAGCCAGACTCTTGCACCTACTAGAGCAGTGTGGCCATGTGCAATCTGGGACTGTCCCTGGCCTGTGCTCTCTCCAAGCCCAGGTGGCACCTGGGGGATGCTTATGGCACAGACTAAATCCCCATCAGACAGAGTGAGCAGAGAAGCCACAGGGACAACTGCTTGATGATTTGAGTCTCTTGTCCTGCTGTTTTATTCTCGGGTATGGGGTAGCCTGGGACTGGTAGTGATTCTTTTTGTTGGGAATTTGTCATCTAGGAGTTTTTTGAAAATAAAGGTGTGGGTTTGCTGGTCCCTCACAGGATGGCTCTGAGCCGTTAATATTCATAGCTAGGAGTAAGGAAAAAGGGATTAGGAAGAGAGAAAGATTCCCTCGTCCAAGTGAAATGACAGAGGCAGCTTTCAGGATGCTATTTCTTGCATTGAAATCATCCAGAGCTGCCCAGTGTGGAGCAAGTGCCATGCTATCACTACATTTCAGTCAAAAAATGGAACGCTAAGTCTGCCAAACACTGTAAGACATGTCTTGTTTTGTTACTTCATTCAACAGTGGCCAGTACTGGGTGTATTTTAGAAACCCACCTAAGAACACTTGGTGCATACAACAGAGCAGAGTATTTCCCTAGTCCCCAGCTGAGGATCCTTTTGTGCTCCCAAGCATGAAAATTGATAGTGTAGCATTTATGTTTACTCAGTGCTGTGCAGGGTAACTGGTGTAGCCTTGAGCAAGTGGAATCAGTGACTAGAAACAGCACCTCTGATGTAGCACAGGGCTCTGCTTGGTTGCTTAACTTCACCAGGGAGCACATTGCCCGAGGCTGAGGGTTGCACTGGCACTATTACCAAGCTGCTAATTGAGCCCTATTCCTGCTGCACTGTTTTCTGACTGTATAGTCAGGAACTGACATTTCTCTCCAATGTAACCAGTTTTAAGGTGTAAGGAGTCTAAGGTTAGGCGCAGAGCTCAAAGATCCTCTATATTCTCTGCACAAAGCCAGCACAGGGAATGTTTTGTTGGTGGTTGGTTGTGCTTTTAATTAGATGAACAGTCTTCATAGTTGGAGGAAATTTTCAATTTGTTTTATTAGACCTTATTTGTACATTGATTTGTATTGTACTTGCATTGTGTGTTTGGAGTCCTTATCGTCAAAAGGCCAATTATCCGATCAGGGTCAAATAAGCCATATCACCATGTGCATTATTAGGTGTGTTTCATACTTCTGCCCTGTCTCACTTTACTGCTTTTCCTGGACCAACACAAACTGATGTACAAGGGTTATTAATGTGAGAAACCAAAGTGCAATATGCTTCTTTGCTGCTGCAGCTCAACTGGAAGAATAGTTATCTTTCCAAAGCACATGTGGAGTTTTCTGCCTACCTGCCTGTCATAGCTTCAGGAAATGAGTCCAAAAATTCATGAAGAACAGGCTGATGATCCATCTAGCTGTGTAACCTGCCTCTGTCACCACTGGTTATTCCAAAGCAGAGATTCTTCTGTATTCCTGCTGAAGCATGAAAATTAACAGTGCCCTGTGACTTTTGTATATGCTGTGATAACTGTTGCTGCTGATGATTTTACTTATGGAAGCACCTGATCATTTTTTAAAACTCTCAATCCATTAGCCTCAACTACTATTCTAAGAAAGCAGTCCTGTTGTAATTCCCCAAGCAGAATCACAGGTATTTATCTGTTTTGATGGTGGGCGTAACCTGCCTTTAATTAACGTGTGGAGCGGCTGGAGGAGAGCTCCATGTAATAATTTCCTTTAATTTGGTAGCATGCACATGTGTATTTAGCAGCATGCCCCTGGTGATCTGACAATTAGCTAATAATTCAGCTGCCTGGCACGATGGAGAGAAAGCAACCGGTTCTGATTGCAATAAATGAAAACATCCCGCTGCTTCTGCTCGGAATTTGAGGACAGTTTGCTTGTGTGCCTGGCTTGGGCGTACAAGGGAATACTGACTCTTTTGACAAATTGTTGTGTGACGTTTTACATTTCTGGAATTGCTTTAGAGTGTGAGAACACCACCGCCTTGTCACAGTGGCTCCTACCAGTGTGTCATTGTAGTAAAAAAAAGCATGCAAAAAAAAGAAAGCATGAAATATTAAGGGAGGCACCAGAATAACATTGGTTTTTTAGCTTTACAAATGTCATGGCTTGTCACTTTAGGAAGAGTTATGATGAAATTCCCATCCTGGAAACATTCTTAAATTACAGTAGTAGTGACAGGTTTGTATTATGATTAAAATTAACTTGAAAATATTCTTATTCCCTACTTCATGGCAGTAGATTTGGCAACGGACATATTTAAATTTGAGTGCAAAGGGAGGTGCTGTTGTGCTACTTAGTTGCTTCCTGGACTATGTAGTTGTCAAGAGAACAACGTATAAGTAGTCTTGGATGATTTACAGATGATATTTTAATAACGCTAATGAGCTTTTATGAAAAAGCTATCACTTTGGCACTATTTTACCCATGACAAAAATGCAATTTGTTTATTAATTTACTTATAGTGTGGCTATTATGCCACGTCTCAGTTGAGGAATTGCACCCTGTTAGTGTCAATGAATACTCACCAGGAGACAGTTTGTGTGCCAGAGGACTCAGAGTGGTAATAACGAAGATATAGTCCACATGACAGAATAGATGAGGGATATTAAATGAGGTTAAGATTGCACACAGAATCCATGCCAGCTGGGAAACAAACCTGAGGCTCAGGCCACTGCATTAAGCATGAAACACTACTTTTCCTACTCTTACGGATACCGTCAAGACACTTTTAGTACCCATTGCTTCAGTTAAAGTTCATTAATGTTTTCCAAAATTGTCCCCTTGAGGGCAACTGCACCCCTAATACATCTGCAAAAGGACAGGTTATTTCTGAGATATTTTTGTCCATGTTGTCAAAAACAAGTGTGCAGGTATAAGAAGCTGTTATGTTTTTGCAAGAGATTTTTGTGCTCCACAGAGGAGCACAGAGCATAATTCATCAACTATCAAGGGCTGTGCCAGCATGTCTCTGTTCATGCTATTTGTGTCCACCTCCCAGACCAAGTGCCACTTGCCTTTTAGGTTAGAAACCTTCCCAAATGAGAGACCACACTCCCTGCAGGCCCTTCTGCAGTTCCCATGGAGTGGGACCCATTCTAGCTCTGTCCTGTCCCAAGAGGAAAGAAGAGCTGGTCCAAAGTGCATGTGTAGGAGACAGAGGTTTACGAGAACCGGGGTCCTGTGTTACAGAGGGAGCAGGTCTCTGGCTGTTGTGCTGCTCATATGTATTTCTACAAGTGTTTTGGAGCTGTGGCTAAAAGTGCTTTAGAAAAGGGAGTTAATGGCTTATGTATTTTAAACTCAGCTGACCTTTTTTTAGCTGGGTTCATATATGCAAGCGCTTCACTGACACAAAGGAGGGCACAGGTACTTAAGAAGCTTTCATTCATCACTTCTTTCACCGAAATCATCCTAATAAAGGATGCTGGTTTTCCCTATAATGACTCCCATGGCAACAATACCGTACCTAACTAGGCTGACACACACTGGGAGGTATCTATCACAGGTAGAAGTTGTCTGATCCGTATCTCCTGCTTTGTGTTGTGTAATTGGGAAGAGAGGAGCAGGCATGCAAAGGGCTTGAAACTCAGTGGCACAGCGTGCCTGTGGGCACATGCTCCGTGGCCTTTGCTTATTCCTTCCCTGGAGACCTAAAACCCACTGCTGCCTTTTGCCAGGAACAGAGCCCTTCATTCATGAGAAATGCCCCCGGCTAAAAAAGCAGTCTCATACCCACAGAAGTACCTTGTGCATCCAGAAGGAAATAAACTCTACATGTAGCCCAGACACAGGCGAATCCCACAGAAGTTTTGGGTTAGCTTCTGTAATTGTATGCATGGAGAATTTAATCTTTGCTCCTTTCTTCTTTGTTGTTTGCTTTTCTGGGTTTTTATTCTGCCTTGCTGGGTGAGCCTGCGCAGTGCAGCGCTGCATTGTGCACAGATATTCATACTGGTTGAAAAGCCAGCGCAGGTCCCAGAAGAGGTACAGCCATTAGAAAGGTTGTACCCAAACTCGAGGCAGGGTAATTCGCAGCAATGTTGTCAGCCTAAAATGGCTCCTCTCTTTTTGGTACTGTAGTTGCAATCCCACAGTTGTGGCTGTCAGTGTAGAGACCCGTGAGGTGCTTAGGGACTTGTCTATTGTGCTGTGCCACATCATAAGATGGAGATTTAAGTACTGTGGAAGTGTCCTTAAATTAAGAGGAAGAGTTTGAGGCACTGTGTTTCCTTAATGGTGATCATTCATTGCCTGTCATCTTTCAGTTGTTAGCAGAAAGGAGAGGGATGTGTGACAAATTAAAGCAGTAAAGAAAATCCTACGTTATATGTGATAATAAAATGTATGACCACATATTGAAATTCTTTTGTGAAATTCAGGCTGTCTTTAAGAGCAAGGGGCAGTATGTATCCCAGAGAGGTGGTACACACAGTGCCAGTGTCAGTGGAGGCAGTGCTGTGGAATAAACACACGAATAAACAGGAGCTGATTATGTTGAGACAGGTTCAGAGATCCTGATGGCCCAAGCTGAACTGAATTAATGGTGGTTTTCTTTTATTTCCCTTTTCTCTCCTCCTCAGGTGGAAGAAAGCTACTCCACCAGCAGTCCTTCCAAAGGGCTTTTCTCCAAAGGGCTCCAGAACCGACCTTCCAGCCCCGTTTCTGCCCCTGTGAGATCCAAACATAGCCCTGGCTCACCCAAAACAGTGTTCCCCTTTCCCTACCAGGAGTCTCCCCCACGCTCCCCACGCCGAATGAGCTTCAGTGGGATCTTCAGGTCCTCCTCCAAAGAGTCCTCCCCCAATTCTAACCCGTCTACCTCTCCTGGGGGCATCAAGTTTTTCTCCAGATCAAGAAAAAGTAAGAAATTGCTCATGTTATTTCAGGAAGATACACAGTACCTCTGGGCTTGGCCCATTCTTTACCTGCGGTAGTGAAGTAAGTGCAGATGAGGCATGTGCTAATTTTTCATTATCGCTTTCACTGACCATGTGTTTTGGGTTTCTGACATGCTGTCCGTTAGGGTATGGCCTCTGCAGTGCCATGGACACCTATGGAGTGCTGAGAAGGGAAATCACGCTTCAAAGCTTTGCTTAGGATTCCTGCATCTGCCTGAGTGGGAGTTGTCTGTGTGGTTTCACCGAGGCTGGTTGGATGTCAGCACTGGGGCTCGAGAACAGCTGGAGATATTCATGGGGTTTGCGGTGGAGGTGGGCGCAGAAAGAACATAATCTGAGCAGCTAACAGAGACTTGCCTCTGTAGACTCCATGGAGAATTTCTGTTCTTCTTTAAAATAATATTTCTCTGCCCTGTTGTAGGAGGGGAAAGAGACCTTTCCTGCATAGAAGTGAATGAATGATACATGTTTCCAATCAAATGACCATTAAGGGGGTGTCTGAGCTCCTCTGCCAGAACATGAAAGGCACCATAGACCTGTATGGTTTGGAGCACTTGCCTGCTTTATATCGGGCACAAATTGTACCTCTTCAGCAGCCCGTGGGCTAATGCACCATTAGGGCTCAGAAATGAGCTGACTAAGAACAGGCTTCAGTTTTAAAACTTTCTTGATGAATAAAGGTTCCCAGTGCTGGTCTACAAGCCCAACCTGGTCTACCCAAGGGGTTAGTGGCTATATGAAGGGAATAGAGTTACAGGGAAAGAGCGGACTCTCTTACCACTGAGGGTGCTGGATTGTTAGATCATAGTGTGTTTTCCTTCTGTGAACAGAAGAAATAACTCGGTGATAAACTGTTGGCAAACCTTCTGCGACAGTGGAGGTAGAGAATTAGTGATGTGTATACCTACAATTGGCTATATGTTTCCTGCAACATATTGATAGCTTTCAGTGACTTTAAATAGTACAGAGGGGCCTTCTTGTTTTTCTTCATCAGAATTTAACCTAAAAGCATTAATTTTAATCAGAACAGGTAATTTCTTAGTGACTTTTGTGCACAAGAACATAGCTAGGCAAAGCCACATAGGATTTTATGTTTATGGGAAGTTCTGCTGCAGCTTAATTGAAATGGCATCTTTCCCAGTCCTTGCCTCTCTCTAAAACACCTTCATGAGATTGAAAGTAGCAGCCAGTGTTTCTGAAGGACTCCGAGTAGACTCCAAGCATAATTTCTATTCAAGGACATTTGTTTTTCTCTGCTTGAAGTTCAAGTATGCTTTCATGCTCTTTCTCAAGCCTCAGGATAATTACAGTTCGTTTAAGCTCTTCTTGCTAGTCCACATATATTTAAATACTGTATGCAATATGCCACTGATTGAGCACGCAGAGAGGGGCTGGTTGCTGCAGGAGTAACAGCAGTGTACACTGCACAGCAAAGCCATCTTGTGACTTTTCACTCAGTTTATCCAAGTGAACGGCACTGTTTTAGTCCTGGCCACGTACAACAGACTATTAAATAAATCAATCTTCCAGTGGTCAGCAAAATCCTTTGGATAAGGTCACATCGCTGTCACAGGAACAGGCTTGGCATGGGGCCATGCTATATTTGAGTTAACAGAGGATACCCATGACCCTGCTGCTCCAGAGAGGGTTGCAAGAATTGTGCTGGATTTGGATGTTCGTGCTCTTTTGCTCTTAAGGCAGGAGGGTCAGTTTTTTGGAAGAGGTGTGATGATTAAAACTGGTATTTAAACTGATAACTCTTCCCATTCTGCAGCTTTCTGCAAAACAGAATCTTTCTTACCATGTGCTTTCATGTGGTTTAGCTCTCTTAAGGAGAGACTAATGCACATGCATACCCTTTACTAGCATGTTAAAGTAGATTTTATTCACAGTGTGCTGAACAGGGGTTGGTAATGAATTACACTCTTAGGATTTACTATATTTAATTAAATTTTAGTAACTTTTATGTAACAAAACTTCCAGGACTTCAGGAAATGTATTGGTTAGCATTTCTGTTGTGTTACATAGTTTTTCAGAGGAAAAGCTTTTGCATTTTGCTACTTTGCAGATAAAGAATAACCCCATGTATTGCAAAACACTACATTAATTGGTTATACCCCACTCAAAACAAAGCCTCTGTGGCTTGAATAGTATTTCCTGAGTACCAAGACTTCTCAGACACTCCTCAGAGCGGATAATCTCATACCTTTGCAAATACAGGCTGGCAGAGACCGGATTGAGAGCAGCCCTGAGAAGGACTCGTGGGTGTTGGGTGCTGAGAGGCTCAACATGAGTGCTCGAAGCCCAGAAACCAACCGTGTCCTGGGCTGCAGCAGCAGCAGTGTGACCAGCAGGTCAAGGGAGGGGATTCTCCTCCTTTGCTCTCATGAGATCCCACCTTCAGGACTGTGTTCAGCTCTGGGGCCTCCAGCATAAGAAGGACATGAACCTGCTGAGGCAAGCCCAAGGGAGGGCCGCGAAGATGTCTTTAAACTGAAGATGGCTTTGAACTGAAAGAATGCAGATTTAGATTAGATACAAGGAAAAAAATCTTTACTGTGAGAGTGATGAGACACTGGCACAGGTTGCACTGAGAACCTGTGGCTGCCCCATCCCTGACAGTGTTCAAGGCCAGGTTGGACGGAGCTTTAAGCAATCCGTGGAAGGTGTGCCTGCCCATGGCAGGGGGTTCAAACTAGGTGATCTTCAGTGTCCCTTCCAACCCAGACCCTTCCATGATTCTGTGATACGCTGTGCTGAAGAGCTGTGAGAAGAGCTAAACGTTCACATGGATCCATGTTTCTGAAGGTGCATAAATGCTTCGCTCAAAATTGTCTCAGCCTACGTGATTAAAATCCCATTCTCTCAAGCAGCTTGGGATGCCTGTGCTGAAAGTAAATGAGACTTAGGTTACTTTATCTGAACTGACTGTGTGTGCATTAAAATCAGATGGACTTGTCATGTTTGCTTGCCTTTACAGCCCGGCTGGTGCTCTATTAATGGTATTGAAATGAAAATTAATTCTGTGCTGGGCTGCATTAGGAGCATCACCAGTAGGTCAAGCAAAGTCATCCTCCCCCTCTGCTCAGCACCGGTGAGACACATCTGCAGTTCTGGGTCCGAATCTGGGCTCCTTAGCGGAATAGAGGCAGAGGCATATTGGTTCAGCAAAGGGCCACTGTGATGGTCAGGGACTGGGGTGCATGATGTAGGAGGAAGAAGAACTTTTTGCTGTCTTCAGTTACCTACCAGGGTTACGGACAAGGCAATGCCAGGCACCTCAGGGATGCCCATCAAAAGGGCAGGAGGCAGAGAGGGAAGCTCCAGGCAGGTGTAAGAAAAGTGTCCTTGATGGGGGTGATACAGCTTTGGAGCAGGGGTCCGGAGGGGCTGTGAAATTGCTGCCCTTGCAAATTTCAGTAAGTCTACTGGACAAGGCTGTGAGCATCCCAATTTAAAGTTGAAGCCCTGCTTTGAGCAGGGTTTGGACCAGAGACCTCCAGAGGTCCCTCCCAGCGGCAGCTCTTCTGGGAAGCTACATTGGAGCCTTCCCTTTGGGTTTGTAGCAAATCTGTGTTTTATCCAGGCAACCTGTAATTAAAAAAAAAAAAAAAAAGAAGGAAAAGAAAAAGAAAAAATAAAAAAAAAAAAAGGACCACATTAGAGTTCACAGGGGTTTGGGTTTTTTTTTTTGCCCTCCACTTTCTATGAAATGAGCCTGTGCTGCACTCCTTTCCCTATCAGCATGGAGCAGTATGTGGGGGAAGTATACGCAGTCTTTGTTTTAAATGACATACCCATCTTCCCTCCACTTCCTCCTCCTACGCATTGTTCAAAACACAGACTAACCTGTTAGTCTGCATATTCCTTGTTTTTCTTGGAAGCACCTTCTTCCTCACTTGTTTTCATTTTAAAGGCTATGTGTGGTATTCTCAGTGCTTTCTTTCCCACGTAGTTGCTCTTTTCCCACCGAGGTTATTTTGCCTTTTGAATATATGCAGTTTAGGAAGGGCATTAATGGTTAGGGTAGGGCAATACTAATACAGAAAGTGATTTGCAGACATGAGGCTTAAAACATTTTCCACTTAAGGGTGGGAGTTTAAAGCTGTTGCTCATCTTTAATACTGCATCACTTGATCTGGCAATAGCCAAAAGCTCATCTTTGTGTCTTTTCCCCTTTGTTACCCCAGTTCAGCAGCTGGTCATAACCCCAGTGCTCAGATCTGACAAAAGATTTGCCTTGAAAGGAAAAACACCTTCCCACAATGTGTACTTGGCTGCCAGCCACTTCAGGTATTTTGTAAGTACAGCTTCAAGGCAGTAAACTGCTGGTTGCGGCTTCATGTCCACATCTCATCGTTGAGAAGGCAACATATCCACCTCAGAACCCCCTGGAAGAGATTCTGTGGGGACCTTTTTGGGTGAGGTTTGTGCTTGGCCACTGGTGCAGCCCCTTTGGTTCAGGAAGTTCAGCACAGAAAAATCCAAGACAGCTCTTTGCATGCTGGGTTTCTGTACAAGTGCTTTGAAATGTAATTCTTGGCTTTTTAATTTCTTTTATGTCTGAGAATTTCTGTGCAACAGCACTAACAGGCCAACAATTGAAAACTGAGTATGGATTTGGGAGGAATTAAGCTTGGCTTTGAGGTGATGCAGATGGCTTGCTAGTGCTATTCCCCCACACTATGAATCTTGGTAGATGCAGTCCCACCCGGTGCTGGCCACCTTCCCCTTTCCAAAGCCAGGCACCTTCTACAAGTGGAGACTTGGCTCTCTGAGATGTAAAGCTCAGTACTTGGGCTTTACCCATCAGCATGGGCATGTGAGCAGCCATGGAACATGGAGCAATTACATTTAAATTGGATACAAAACAAATGAGTGAATTGGAGCTACCTGTAGCTACCAAGAGGCTTCTACAGAGCTGACACTGATTTCCTACATATTTTTTTTAGGGACAGCAGG